AGAAATGATAAAGAAAATATAGAATATGGAAACTTATAAACATTGACATGGTCTGGTGAAAAGGGAAAGCATTTTCCTTTATATGTAATTTGCCATCAATAAAATGCAAATATATTGTGAAATAATCTCCCACAAAATAACTGTAATAGAGTAAGAAGAAAAAATTGCTTGCATGCTTGCAGACTCATAGGATCTCACAGTATGTCTTCAGGGTGTACTCATTGGCCACTAAACCATCCTTTGTTGTGTCAATACTGCAATACAAATGGTGACATGTGTTCTTAAACAGCAGAAAGAGCAAACCCTTGAACACAAGATAAAGTTTAGCCTCAACAGAACACATGCTGGAATAAAGGCCAACAAACATCTGAACCTGGCAAGACAGTTTAGCTTCATATACCTTCATGTCAGTATGAATATGTACTAGCAAACTGATTTGTGGCAGTGGCTCTCTGCACTCTTGCTCTGAACACATAACCTCATTTTTTATAATTGTACTGAAACACAATTTTATTCTGAGTTGCAGGTAATGCTCTGCTGGGATTTATTTTTTTTTCATCCTGAGGAAGGTAGAGAGAGGGTGGAGTTGCAAACCTTACATGTGTACCACACAGCAAAGTGCATGTTTGAGATCCAGTCGAGCCCTGACCTGTGTGCTTTCCATCTGCAATGCTAGCATTTGTAGGCTGCTGTATTTTGAAGTGCTTAACACTGTTCCTAGCACGATCTGCTGAAAGGCTACACTGTAGTGTACACAGTCCTGCTCATGCTTAAATTATCCATAACACATTAATGGTGCTGGTTGTATTCAGGCACTCCTCAGGCAACCACTGGGCAAGGGTTTACTTTTAAAATACGTATCACTGGCTGAGACAACAGGCTTAGACCTATGTTTAATTGATGGTGAGACATATCTTCAGTGTTTTAATGTTTCCAGCTCAGCATCTAAGGCCTGCTTCACAAAAACAATGGGAAAAAGTCATGTATTTAAAAATGGCTTAGGTCCTAGAACATTTAAAAAGATGTTCAGAGTAAGTATAGATTCTCATTCTTATGCAAATTCTGCTTAACATGAGAAGATGATTAAAAGGTGGCAGAAAACCACATTTTTACTTACTTTGTTCTAGGCCTGTCTTACCTCTCCTTTTCATAGAATAATAGGACCATTTAGGTTGGAAAGACCATCAAATCCAACCATTAACTTAGCACTACCAAGCCCACCACTAAACCATGTCCCTAAGCACCATGTCCTCTATCCCTATCATGTCTGAGGAGCCTTGTATTTGCTTACCTAGTGGTCATTTATCTACACCCAGAATGCTGAGCCCAGCGAGAACAGTCAGAGCATAGCAAGGTGCTGAGCAACCGCTGCACCTGTCACTGTGGGAGCCCCCAGAGTCATCACTGCAGCTTTGGACATGCATGGCTTCTCAGGAATTCCTGATGTCTGACCGCAGAAGCATTTGTTAACACCACAGTGGCAGAGATGCTGTGTGACTGACCAGCCAGCCTCTCTTGCCCTGCAACTACATACCAAAGCCCCGTAAAATAAAACCCTAACCAGCATCTGCATTGGAGAGGTAAGAGGACTAGCATGTAATGCTAAGGAGGTACAGCGCTCTAACAGGACAATGAGATGAACTGGGTCCCAAGGCAGCCTGGCAAAACCAGACCTCAGTAACCCCCCGCAGCTTGCTTGGAATTAATACCTGTCTTGGTCACAAGGACAGAGTTCTTGACCAAATGGCTCAAGAAACACAGCATGTTCTGTACTTCTAATATGCAGTAGCATATCATCCTCAATAATGCATTTTAATGTACTATGTGGGCAGGAGTACTTTTAGACAAGGTTTTACAGATAACATGTTTTATTCTAGACTATTCTGGTTCTGGGCTTTTTTCTTTCTTTTAAAAGTGAATTTTAATTTTCTCATTCAATGGTTGTGATTTTTAAACTACTTTATTTTTACCAAATAGTTGCTAATTTTTGTTCTAGGACACTTTGTACAGTTTATCATGGGAGGATGGGATCTGTAGCAGCTTGACATAAGCCTCTTCAAGAGAACTGCAGCAAGCAGCCTCCTGATCCCACCTGCACCTCCAGCTGCTGACCTTTTCACCTCTAGCTGTTGACTTCTTCACCTCCTTCTTTAGATGCCCATGGTGGTGCAAAACCAGTACTGCCTGTGTCCCACTGAGTTGGCCCTTTCTGCTCTCCAGCCTGGCTGGGTACCCACCTGGAAACAAAGTTTTTGTATGATTCTCTTAAAAAAAAGTGGTTTAATGACACTGCCTTACAAGCCCCTTGCAAATACCTGTTGGACCTGTTAGAGCAGGTCCAGAGGAGGGCTACAGAAATGATCAGAGGGCTGAAGCATCTCTCCTGTGAAACAGGCTGGAGAGAGTTGGGGCTATTCAGCCTAGAGAAGGCTCAGGAGAGACCTTCAAGCAGTATTCCAGTGCCTAAAGGGGCTCTGAGCTACCTGGTCTAGCAGAAGGTGTCCCTGCCTGTGGCAGTGAGGTGGACTAGATGATCCTTAAAGGTCCCTTCCAACCCAAACTATTCTATGATTCTAAGTAGTCTGAACACTCAGTAGATTTTATGAACACTCATTAGATTTTTTTTTGCAAGAAAGGGAAGACTAATCTTCTGTCATTACAGGTTAGTTCACACCTTTGCGTAATAAAAGCTGATGGAGCAGGAAAAAGGATCACAAAAACCCTGATGCATTTTGCTGATTTCTGAGCACTGTACACTTTCTCCTGTCAGGTACCGAATTCTTATTCCTGTGCTGGGAACTGAAATCTGTTGATCTCATCTTGTATAGTACTTGTCGGGAAAGTGCTGATATGTTCAGTTGGCCAGTATCAGAAAGAATAAAGTTTTGTGGCCACACAATGGACATAGTTCAGATTCCTGAGTGTAACACTTGGCGCGAAAGAATTAATCCTTTCTTTGTCTTTCAGTATTTAGGTTTTGTTTTCTTCATTTCTTTGTACATCTGAGACTGTGATTTTGAAGAAGGGTGTTTATTTGCAACCAACGTAATTTGCAATTACATTAGCATGTTCCTCCTCTTTAGCAACCTAAATCCTACATGAAAGAGGCTTTTAAACTGAAATTTATTGTACTACATTCAGAAGGAATCAAGATGGGCATGCCCTCAGCTTGAGTTCCACTTCAGCTTCTATCAGGCACTGTCCATGACAGCAAATGCCAGGATGGATTGCAGATGGGGAAAGAGATGGAGCGAGAGGAAGAGAGGCATCTAGGCAGGCCCATGCACACTTGGAGGCTCAAAGACTAGTGCTGAAAGCTTATAACACACACAGTTTTAGAAAGGGAATAGCTGGACAGGTACCAATGTAATGTGTTCCCACTGACTCAATTAAAAGACTGTTTACTATGTGATAGACTAACTCTATTTTTCACACAGTATTCATGGTGGTCACAGATTGTTTGGGCAAACTGTGGAAGGCACACTGTGAATGAAGCACCTGACTAGAAAGGGGTTGAAACAGGATGGGCTTTCTCCTATCTCCGTATTTAGGTATAACTAACCCCAGAACATGCATGAAGCTGTCTGTGCCTTTGACAGAGAAGACACATTATTTAAGATGAAGTGTGAGCTCCTGCAACCCCTACGAAAAGATAATTGATTGTAATTTCATTTTTTTCTTACCCAGCTTCAATGTGAACAAGCTTCTTCCCCATTCTCCTCCTTAGATTGACTAGAAAAGTATCTTTTTCTTGTCATTCCTGCAACACTTAAGGAGTCTCACAAAGAACACTAATGTTATCAGAGTGTTTGATACACAGATATTTTTGATGTGCATACACTGCATGTAAAAATGATGGGAAAATACTTACAACAATCAGTTAACAGCATCTGTACACCTGGCAGATGTGGGGAAGGGACACTGGGAGTGCCTTTGTACATATGGGGGGATTTGAGGAAGACAAAGCTTTCTTTCCGCTACAGTGAAGGGAAGCGATTAGGTGGGTGTGGAAAGGAGAAGGTATGATTGTTTTCTCTGCATGACAGGAGGGGTTAAGGAGACTGTTTATTTCTTTGTACCAGTACAGGAAATGTGTTTGTTTATGCATCTATCTTTGTCACTGGAAGAGGCAAAGGGATGGATGCATTTTTTTTCTGTTGCTTAGGCATAGGAAAAGGGGAGATTTATTTTCCTTTTTCTGTGGAAGGGGACGAAGGGAGGTCTGTCTAATACCTACCAGCAGCTTCAAAAAGGCAAATACGCGTCGTCTGTACAGACTTCAAAAAGGCTTGAGCGTAGGTAGGAGAGTTCTTTCAACACTGTCCCAAGCTGAGCAAATGTTTAGATATCTATTTTTGGCTGTAATGACGCTGGAACTGACAAACCAGGAATTCAAAGCATTGTACTCCACAAAGCACTTTGTACAGTTTAGAAAACAAGGCAGATAATGCCCCCTGCAATCTCATTTCCCTCATCCTAGGCTGAGACACCGGGGACTCCAGGGCAATCCCAAAAGCTCTTTCAGGATTTCAGGGCAACCTCGAAGACTCTTTTCCCTCCCTGCCATTTTTTAGGATTGCATCCCATTTCACGTTTCAGGTTATCCACGGTGCCACCTTTGTCCTCCCAGTTTGGCAGCAGTGACCCCCGCTGCCTGAGCAGTCGGTGATCCCCCACTCCTCTTTCCCCACACACGGGCCGACCTCCCCTCGGCATCGCCCTCTCTCCGGCGCACTCTCCGGCGCACACACCGGCGCTGTCGGAGCTGGGGACGGGCCGGGGGGCGGCGGGCAGCGGCGCAGGCTGTCTACCGTCGGCCAACATGGCTGTGACCACGGCGGGTGACCGTTGGGCGAGGGGCGCTCGGGAGGCGGCCGTTGGGCGAGGGGGGGGGGCGGAGGGCCGGTGCTCGGGGGGAGCGCCGGGCCGCGCTGCCGCCGCGGAGCGGTAACGGAGGGGAGGGAGCGGCGGGGAGGGAAGAACGGAGGGAGGGAGAAGGCGGTCGGGGCGGAGACTGCCCCTCCAGTGCGCTGTTTGTCGCTGTTCCGCCGCGCGAGGAGGAGGGCTCTGTCCGGCCGCCTTCTGCTGCCCCCTCCTCCGTGCGAGGGGACCGGGGCGACCGGGGAGGGGCGGGGGAGGTGATGAGCTTGGGCCGGGGGCTGCGGCGGCGGCGCGGCTGCTGCTGCTGCGGCGGCGGGAGGCGACGGCGGGGCATTGGAGGGTCTGTCCGGCCGGCCCGGGGCCAAGGGGATGCAGCGGAGGACGGGTCTGGGTGTAGCTGATCGGAGAAGAGAGGCAGCCGCCGACCGGAGAGGCCGAGGAGCAGCGGAGGAGAGCCACCCTGACATGCCTTTTCCTCTCCCTCCTCTCCAGCGGCCATGTTAACCAGAAAGCCCTCAGCTAGCGCCGCCGCTGGTGCTGCCTACCCAGCCGGTAAGCAGAGGGCTGCCGTGACCACCACCGCGACGCGCCGGGTCGTGCGGGGCTGGGAGGGGGGTGAACTCGGCCGCCCCTCTGCTGCCGCCGCCGCCGCAGCGGGGACGTGCTCGTCGGAACAATGATCCACCCTCCCCCCGGCAACCGAGCCCGGGGGCCGGCGGGGGGCTTCGTGCTCGGCTCCGGCGTGCCGCTGTTGTACGGGGTGGCGAGTTCGCCTCGGGGAAGAGAGGTGGGGGGAAGAGGAATCACTTGGGGAAACGACCGGGGGAGAACCGGGAGTCGCGGCATTTGCCGGAGCGGCCGCGTTTGATAGGGGCAGCGGTGCTCGCCTGCTCTTGCCGCTGCACACTTGTGAACTCCTGGCGGCGCCGGGATTTCTCCGGGCCAGACGGCTTGGGGGGGGCGTTGGAGAGGGTAAGACGGGCGGGCGGGCGGCCGTCCAGCTCCGAGGTGCGTGCGGGGCTGAGCCGGCTCGCTCTCTAGGTTAGGTGGCTGCCGGTGGCGGGTTAATCTCGGATGAAGGGTTTAGCCGGGCGAGCACGGCCCGCCCGCGCTATTAGCCGGATCGGTGCGTGTGTGCGCCGCGGCGGTGATTAGCTTTTAATGGCTTCTGCCTGAAGCAAGACGGGCGGTGGTGCCAGCGAAACGCCGGGGCCACCGCCGCCCCCCGACGGCCTCCCTGCCTGAGGGGCCGCCGCTGCCCTCCGCGCTCACCCCTCTGCTCTCCGCAGGCAGGGCAGGGGACAGCGGTCGCCCGCTGCAGTCTTCCCCGGGCACCGGAGCCGGGGTCCCCCGGGCAGGAGCTGGGACCGGTCCGCCGTCACCTCTCGCATTGCCGCCGCTCAGGGCCAGCAACGCCTCCCACACGGTGAGCCAGGGCTCGGGGCGGGGGGCCGAGGCGGGGGCTGGGGGAAGGCTCGTCCGGCCGCGGGGGCTTGCCGCGCCGCCGCCGCGCTGCGTTCGCCCGGTGTCCCCCACGGCGGGATCGAGCTCTCACGGGCGCCGCCGCGAGCACCCAGTCCCGCCTGACGAGGCGCTTGAGCAAAGTGCATTTAATTTCTGCAGACTCCGATCAAACGTGCGTTTGTTGTGGGGCTGGGACACGGTGACTGCACTGAGAAGCAGCTTTCCCTGTCCCCAGCCCACTTCAGTCTGGTTTAGTGTCTCATTTTCAGTGACAAAATCGATCTCCCACACTCGCACAGAGGAGCTGTTCTGGTAAATGCATTTTTTGAGATTACATTGTTTTGGCAATGAGGTTAGTCACTGCGAATAAAGTGAGCCGTAGTGAAAAGTGAAGGCTGCTCTCCCTTTATATGTCTGATTAGCTCAGGCCGATAGCTGCCCTTCCCTTGAAATAGCTATCACTGTACTCGTCGACAATGATTGGATAAATCCGACTTTATTACTGCAGTAGTTTACCTAAAGAAATAAGCACTGATGGCATGAAAAGGATGTTATTTTCCGGTTCTGTGATATATCACATTATCTCCCACTCATAGTTAATCTACTAGGAATGAAACTTCCCAAGTATGCCACTATATATGGATGAGAGAGGGTATGTCTGTGCTGAAGGCACGACAGAGTAGAGAGGGAGGTATCTATATGCTGTCATGTTATCATTAAATACCTGAATTTTTTATTGCATACATATCCTTTTAAATTATGAGGGATTTTGTACTGACCGTGAAAGGCATTGATGGCATACTTTCCTTAGAATTAATGAATTCTTCATGGATGCTCACATACTATCTTTGTAAACGTATGACAGAGCTTTAAATGGTAACATGATTATGGGCTGGTGGAAGGTGAAACTATGCATTTAGGTGTTAGTGTTTCAGTGACTTTCTGTGTACCTTGAGTAAAAGCATCTTATTCAAATCCATTTATAGAAAGAATTGGCATAAATGAAAGGTAAAAAAATCACTATATTCTCAAAAGGAATTATGAATATTCTGCAAATTCAAGGCGGAGCTGCATACTTGAGATCAACATAGTTGTATATTTATGTAGCTAGGATATGTGTCTGAATTGTTCATTAGTATCAAAGGCCAATTTTTTTCACATTCATGTACCAGTTAAGTGCTGGTTGATTTTAGGGTTGGGGTAGCAGCTTAATGTTTTTATAAAAACATAAAAGAAGGAGTGTGATACAGACAGCCTGGACGCCAATCATAAAACTGCACATGCAGATGGGCTCACAAATAACAGGGGCCCACATGAAATAGAGCCCAGACTTAATTTAGGATTTGTAAAGGCATAGTGGTCCAGCTATATAACTGGGACTACTCACTAATCTGGAAGTACAGAACTTTGGTATTTTTATACATAGATTTATATGTGCATGTGTGTATTATATATAGTGTCTGTGCATATATACCTACATTTATAAAGATGAAGTCTTTATGAAAGCATGCAAGGGGTGCTCAAGTTACATTTCTGTATTTCGAGTATTTTTATACATCGTTGTATATGTATGCGTATGTTTATATATAGCTTATCTGCATGTGTGTGTATATACACATAGAGATGAAATATTTATGGAAGCACACAGGGGTGGCCAAGCATTATATTGCTGGTTTTCATGTCTCTCTAGATTCTGACTGTTAGAAACTCTGCCTTTCTTTTGTCATACAGAGCTTGCTCTACAGTATTTATTTAGCCTTGGATACTATTACAGAAATACCTCAGACTGCCTTTCCGAATTTTGTAAGTGGTTATTTTGTGGTTGGCTAACATAACATTTTGTGGTAAGGATCAGATGTGACATCAGAATGCTGTATTTTAACCTAAAAATAAAAGGGAAAAAAAAAAAAGGGTGATATCTGTTATGTGATTGTTCTGTAAATTTCAGGCCTGCTGACCTCAGCTGACCCTGACTGAAATAATTGGTTTTGCATCCCGCTACTTCCTCCAATCAGGCCTTTTTAAAATGGAACATTTCAGTGTTCTTAGACTGTTTTCCTTCTTTGTGATCTTTTGCTTATTCTGTTTTCATCCCTGTTGTATATCTGTGTGACTTCTGTAATAGCAAAAAATGGGGAACATTTCTCTTTGTGTTTGAAACTTTCAGGAGCTACAGTTTGCTTGAGTAGTTGAAGTTGCTGGTGGTTGGATGTAATGTAATGTAAATGTGTGCACTGTATATACATATATTAGTTGCGAAGATAGAGGTTGAAGATGGGTTTTTATTTAAGCTAGAAAGTTTTTATTTTAATTCCGACAGAGAATAAATCAACCACCTGTTGTATTTCTTGCAGTAGCGAGTTGTGCTCTAGCCTCTTGTGAAACTGTGGTATCCTACTTTCAAGTGAAGTTTCATCGTTTGGTAGAAACCAGCCACATGGGTAGAAGGGGGGAAGATGTTGTTTTACCCAGGCTTTGTATAACAGGGCAGAGGTTTTAGCTCAGTCTCTGCAATCACAGCAGCCTTGGTTGCTAAGCACGCTGTTGTGGTTTTTTTTTGTTTGGTTTTAAATTGTGGCTTCATCCTGGGCTTATTTGTGTCTGCTTCCATCCCCGATTATCTTTTTGTGCTCATGGTGGAAAACAAGAACTCATTTCTAGCCCCTTGTCCTCTTCTTTTTCTTCTCCAAAGTCATTGCTTTCTCTTTTGAAGTCTTAAGTTCTGGCCTTGGCGACTGGCACCTTTTTCCATTCACTCTCCTGTTTCATTATGGTGTTAGTACATCCACTTGACATGCTGCATTAGAGATTATCTTGCTTGCCTGCTGCTCTGCTTGTGTAAATCCCCACCCGTCTGTGAGTCCCTCTCCCAGACTCTTGTCTCTTGTATTCTGCCTACCTCCATCTCTGTTTATTCTCATTTGGCACATATCCGTGCATTCTGCACTCTTCCTGTTTCTCTTGCAATAAAGCAGTCTTAATCTTTTTCTCCTCCTGTCTAGTACTGTAACAACAGCCCATTTACAGTGCATGATTCAGTGCACTCCCTCTTCAATTCCTTTGCAAGATTTCCCTACAGCAAGGCCTGTTTTGTTTTGAAATCAGTGGTAAATGTCTATCCATATACGTTTGCATCAGTCAGTCTTCATCTTAAAAATGTTAAATTTTATTAAAAAAATGGTTCACATGGTAACAGAACAGGGATTCCTGGACTAAATGTGAAGATCTAGTGGGTCACATGCTGAAGTTTTTTACTGCAGGCCGCTGCTTAAAGCAGGCAAACCCCAATGAAAATACCTTGCAGTTGTGGTGCTCTCATGTAATAAATTGCCATGGGAGTGTTGTTATGTTTGAGTGGAAATAACTGTACTGTCCTGATCTGTAGTTTGCTACATCTAGATTTCTTTGCATGTTTCTTCTTCTACATTAAACTTACGTCTAAGGGGAATACGAAGCTATCTTAACTTTCAATGGGGGACTTTGAAATTTGTTCTCCCACAGTTGGTGACTATGCTGTGGGGACTGCTGCACATCAGGGCACATCTGTCTTATGTGTACACTTCAGCTTACCTGAAGGGTTCAATTTAGTTTGCATTGACTGTCCTTTTTTGTTTCAACATGTGTAATGCATGTAGGATGTCCCAGAAGTCCTCAGACTTACTGCATCCATGTAGTTCTGACAGGAGGAAAAAAAATTAGGAATTGGGATCACTCTTGAGGCTTAGTTCTGTCTGAAAATATCTGCTATATAAAGTCAAAATCAAGTTTTAAAAAAATAAGCTTGTATGGACCAGATATGACATCAGCAAAAAAATTCAAATGGTGTGTTTTTAGTACAGCTGTTGTTGAGCTACAGGCTCTTTAGGACAAGGGCTTAGTCTTTCTTGGTGCTCATAATAAAACCATTATGATAATCCTGTATTATTGCTATTGTACTAATTATCACATTATTTTTAGTTCTGAACAGAGGAATGCTGTTGAATTCATTTATTAGATTAAAAAACGCCTTTGTACATTTGCTCAGGCTGTAGTCAAAATAGGCAGTCAAGCATGCTACACCTGATACTAGCATGTCAGACACAGGAGGGCTGAAACTGGACCAGAAATGCTGTAAAGAAAGGGGTATATAGTGGAATGTTTATTCTTTAATGAGTTACTGCTTTGGAACACTCTGTGTGTGTATATATATATCTAAGATAAAGATGTCTTACTCCTGTGTAGTATTACAGCAGGCCATTGTGATTGCTTTATTAATAAGGTTCATTTAATAAACCTTTTTAGAGTCTGGTTGACAGCAAAATGTTCTTTTCTGTGGTATGCTTTTTTTGAGCAGCAGTAGTCTTGTAGAGGGTTTTGAAACAGACTGTTGCATTGGCTGTGTGTTACTGCAAAGGAATCGTCAACTGGTTTGTCTTCTTGTTGGCATGACGGACTCAGTTTTATGCTAATTATGTGCTGTTACAGGTCTGTAGCATAAGTATAGTAAGTTACTGTTCTACTTCTGTCCCTAAACCCATTTGTGAAAACAAAACAAAAACCCAAACCCCAAGCACTCCCATCCCCCAAAAGAAGGTGTTTGGGTTTGGGATTTTTGTTTTGCCTAGTGTCTGTACTTCGATGGTTAGGTGAATGTTTTTAGCATAGTCATCAACTTCCATAAACTGAGCAAACCAAAATTAAAGCAAAATCTAGTGGTGATTTTGAAGTAATGAAAAACTGTTGAGAGAGGAAAAAATCCACCATTGTGATGTTTGCTGTTATGTAATTGATGTTGACAGAAGATTCAGGAAGATTGGCTCTTTGAGTTCAGGCTTACCTGTTCTTGCAGTATGTCTTACGGAGAAGTGTGCACATCAGTAAGTTTTTGATGACGTGGGCTAGAAAAACATGTAAATCTTAGCAGGTGTAGTTGGGTGTGAGCGCAGGCAGTAGAATATATAAGTACGATGCATAAGTGCATGCAGGTTGTCAGCTGTGTAGGTTGTTGGTTCTGGAATTTACAGGCAGAAGTAAAGGTGCCATGTGTTATAAGCAGCTCAGACTTACGGTGTCGGATGGGAAGCTGGTGGAGGTTCTGTGTACTGTGAACAGTTTGATACTGTACTAGAAGTCTGTAGTGCTTTGTAGCTTCCCACGCCCATTAGTTGTGGTTTAGGGAACTTACAACGTCATTGGTGAAGCCTGTAGAGCTTGTAAACAGTGCAAGCCTGAACTTGACAGCAATCTCAGCCAGTAGCCAGAAGTAGATAGGCAGAACAAAGGGCTGGTGAGAATCCAGCCCTAATCCAGGTTGGAAATAGAAGAAGAGGTGGTGATTCTTGTGCAGGTAGTACCCTGAGATGAGAAAAGTCCATTTTTCATACTTAGTGGTTGTGATATATCTGATAGCTTGGAAATGCCTGATGGAGGGGGAGGGGAGAAGAACAGTGAACTGCCTTCTCCCCGACAGCGTTTGGAATAAAGCCTGTGCTCATTTGGTGTCTTTTCTTCCACAAAGAAAACTAGTGCTACTGTCTGCATCTGCATTTGCATTCCCAAGCAGCAGTTGACTGAAACTGGCAAAACCGGTCACTTTGGATTTAGGGTGAAGCTGGGATAATGCTGGTGATTTCATTCTGCTGCTTGGGGAAAAAAAAAAACCAAGCTGTAAGCAGCAAGAGAAACCGTGAGGCTGCCTGAAGGTGCAGGAAGCAGAGCTACATGGTTTACAGTTTAGAATGTGTTTGCAAACATGCTTTTAGGAAAAAGGAACTCTTTAGTATGTGGTGAGAGTAGAAAAATGTTTGTTTTTTTTTTTCCTAGCCCTGATACAAAGCAAATAACTGAAGTCTGAAGAATTCCCCTGTACATCTGTTGAAACAAGCAGTGCTTAGGAAGGGCAGAAAATAGTTAATTCTGAAAACAGGTGACTCAAGTGAAAAAAAAACCAAACCCAACAAACTAATTCAAGATGTGAACTGTGGCGATGTGTACTTGGGTTAAGAATTCTTAAAGATGGTTTTCTCCACTATGCTCTTTCTTTCTCATTGTCTGAATGTCAGTATTGTCTGCTCCCCTTTGTTTTGGTATGTTCTGCTTTATTGTTCAACCAGTGCCACAGAAGAAACATTTGTACCTGTACTTGTAATCTGCACAGTTATTCTGCTGCTTCATTGTGCGTTTCTTATATTTACAGTTCTGCAGTACTGCATGTGCTGAGCCTCTGATACATCTTACTAACTAGGTCTGGTTATTCTGAGATGGGTCATTTAGCAGCTCTTGGGGCTGAATTACCTGTTTTTTTTCCCCAGTAACTGCTGCTTATATAGAGGATCAGGGCAACCTTCATGAAACTGCTACTGCAGTGCGCTTCAGACTTCGATCTGAAGGAATTACCTGTAGGCTCGTTAAGTCCCCTTGCTGCTTAATGCCTGGTGCTTTTGAGGCCTCAAACTAGGAAGGGAATGAATGTTGCTATCCCATGTATCTTCACTTTGCTTAAATGTTACAGATGTCTTAGCTTTGGATTGCAGTTCTGTGGTAAACCTTTCTATGAGATTGATCAGATTTGCTAGTGTGAGCCCAAATTGATCTTCAAATAAACATCCACAGTCAAACTGTAGTGATGAAATAAAATGAACCAGTTATTCAAAGCAAGTCAAAATGGAATCAGAAGAGTAGTGAACTCCGCAGAAGCAGTCTCCGAGAGATCTTGGGTTTGCGTTGTGTGAATTTCAGAACTGCAAGTTTAAAAATATTATCCAAAGGTGAAGCTGGTGTCCAGCTGGCTACGCCTTGGGAGCAAGTTACTGAATTTACAAGAACAGGCTTCTACCATATCAGACTGAGACCTTAACAGAAGCACAAAATATGCTAAGAGTCCGTGTTACATGTCCTGGTTTTCTCATTAGGAAGCACTACTGCAGTTGCAGCACAGATTTCATTGCCTCATATCACAGCACACTACTATAATTTTCTGATTTTGTTTCAGCAACCTTAAGTGAACAGGGAATGTGTTATCCGTAGCTGTCTAGAAAAGGTAGGGTTCAGATTAGAAGCGCTCTCAACCCTGGCTTGATCATCTGTCTGACAGCATCAGTGAACTTTTGGTTAGTAATTTGGTATAAATGTTAAGACTGGTGAATCAGCTGGAGAGAGAAGGGAAAATCTTACCACCTTTGTGTAAGACCAGGCAGAAGACAAACTAATTATCCTCTGCTTGAGAGCAAATGAGGAATTCTAAGGACAGCTATTTTAGTGACAGGTATATGCTCATATATTTCTTGTTTCACCTTAAAAATAACAGGTTTTCAGAAAGACTTTTCACACCCCAGTGCTTCTGGTGTTCCTTTGCTTGAAAATGCTGAGTATTCCTTTGCTTGAAAATGCTGTTTATTCCCTTGTGAAAACTGTGAAGAACAAATATAATTTCTCAAATCAACTAATCCTTTTTTTGATTCCTTTAAAATAAAGTTACTTGTATATTCTTAAAGGCAAAGATTTTTTTTCCATTCAAACCTGCATCAGGCCCCACACTTCATCTTGGTTAAAAGTTATTATAAGACTGGTTTGGGAAGGTGCTAAAGGATATGCCCGTGCTTCATTGATCTGAATGCTTTACTGAATAGTTACTGCCTCAATTGCAAGCAGTAAATGGCACCTCTTGAACTATAGATATGTTCTTTTCCTCTTTGTGCATGTTACAGAACATAATGTTTATTGCTTAAAATTGTGTCTGTAGCTTTTGGTATACAGCAAATTCAGGAACAAGTTAATATGTTGATTTCTGAGAACAGGTGACTAGGAGAGCCTTAGCCATGTAAGTTATAGCAGGCATTGTATGTTGATCTCCAGCATCAGTAGAAGTGCTACTATATTCTGTAAAGTTTGAAGTCCTTCAAGCGTACTTCTTGATGTTACAGGGCTGTTTCCTTGAAGATTCCTTAGAGGAATTGTCAGCTTATCGTGGTAGCACATCTGTGATGGCCGCAATCTAGAGAGTTGTGAAAGCAGCATTTGAAAAACAAGGATGTGAAGAATTTAATAGTGCCCTGCAGAATCACAATATATGTCCTGTATTTTTCTTAGATTATCTGACTTCTAAGAAAATACTCAGTTTTGAGGTGATTTAGGCAGGATGGTGGGTTGCAGAATACATGTGAAGCATAGAGTTCATGCCTCTCTTGTTAACTGGGTATGTATTTATTTTCGATTTTAGGTTGGAGGCAGTAAGCACACAATGAGTGAGCACCTCCATGTTGGTAGCCATGGACAAATCCAGGTTCAGCAGCTGTTTGAAGATAATAGTAACAAGAGGACGGTTCTGACGACACAGCCAAATGGACTTACAACGTTAGGCAAATCTGGATTGCCAGTGGTTCAGGACAGACAGTCAGAGAGTGCTCACAGACGACAAGGGAGCTCCAGCTCTTTAAAATCTACAGATGGAACAGGGAAGGTGAAAGCTTCTGTTATGACACCAGAGCAGGCAATGAAGCAATACATGCAAAAATTAACAGCTTTTGAGCATCATGAGATTTTTAGCTACCCTGAAATATACTTTTTGGGTCCAAACGCAAAGAAGAGGCAAGGTGTGATTGGTGGTTCAAACAACTGTGGGTATGATGATGACCAAGGGTCTTATATACAAGTACCCCATGATCATATTGCGTACAGGTATGAAGTCCTGAAAGTTATAGGAAAGGGAAGCTTTGGGCAAGTGGTGAAGGCCTACGATCACAAGATGCATCAGCATGTGGCACTAAAAATGGTGAGAAATGAAAAACGTTTCCACCGGCAAGCTGCGGAAGAAATTAAGATCCTGGAGCATCTCCGGAAGCAAGATAAGGATAACAACATGAATGTTATCCACATGTTGGAAAACTTCACATTCCGCAGCCATATCTGCATGACATTTGAATTGCTGAGCATGAACCTGTATGAATTGATAAAGAAAAACAAGTTTCAGGGCTTTAGCCTACCTTTGGTCCGCAAGTTTGCCCACTCAATTTTGCAGTGCTTGGATGCTTTGCACAAAAACAGAATCATTCACTGTGACCTTAAACCTGAGAACATTCTGTTGAAGCAACAGGGTAGAAGTGGTATCAAAGTGATTGATTTTGGCTCAAGTTGTTATGAGCATCAGCGTGTCTACACTTACATTCAGTCACGTTTTTACCGTGCACCTGAAGTCATCCTTGGTGCCCGTTATGGGATGCCCATAGATATGTGGAGCTTGGGTTGTATTCTAGCAGAGCTTCTGACTGGTTATCCACTTTTACCTGGAGAAGATGAAGGAGACCAGCTGGCTTGTATGATTGAGCTATTAGGCATGCCTTCTCCAAAACTCTTAGATTCATCCAAGCGAGCCAAAAACTTTGTGAGTTCTAAGGGTTATCCCCGCTATTGCAGCATCACAACCTTGTCTGATGGCTCTGTAATACTTAATGGTGGACGCTCTCGAAGAGGAAAACTACGTGGCCCACCAGAGAGCAGAGAATGGGGTAATGCATTAAAGGGATGTGATGATCCCTTGTTCCTGGACTTCTTAAAACAGTGTTTAGAATGGGATCCTGCTATTCGTATGACACCCAGCCAGGCTTTGCGGCATCCCTGGCTAAGGAGACGGTTGCCAAAACCTCCAACTGGGGAAAAGGCTTCAGCAAAGAGAATTACAGAGAGCACTGGTGCTATAACGTCGATTTCCAAGTTACCTCCGACTTCAAGTTCAGCTTCAAAACTGAGGACTAATTTGTCACAGATGACAGATGCCAATGGGAATATTCAGCAAAGAACAGTGTTGCCAAAACTTGTTAGCTGAGGCTGAGAAACCCAATGCTGTTAGTATGAGAGATAAGATGTGGCTGAGCCTTATTTGTATGAAAAGGTAGCTCAGATATACATTTTTATTTGCTCAATAACTTTATTAATTTGTATCTTTCAGCACTCATTTTAAATGTAAGAAATGTTGATTTTGTTTTTATAAAAACATGGGGACAATGCTTTAAGTTTTTATACTTATTTTTTAAGATGTTTGTCTTCTACAGTACAACTAGCCTTACTGTAACTAGTGTGATACAGTAATAAACATCAGTGGCAGGCCACTGGTTACAAGATGACTGTCATGCATTGCAGCGTGGTGTCAAAGGTATTATCGTTTCTCTTCCATGGTTCATATTAGGTTTCACCTGGGGAAAATCTGTAAGGCTCTACTTTTTGGATTTTATGGGTATGCGAACACTCACACTTAAGCCTGACTGGGCTCCAGGGAGAATATCAAAGAAGTAGTTAAGCACCTGTAAACTTGTAATTTAAAGTGGAGCTGTAGCGTGTTACATTGTCATTTTCTATATGGTAGCCCAGAGAAAGTAGTGGTATTACTATGATACAGTCACCTCCTATGGAATACTTTCTCTACTCAAAAGTAATGGGTTTTGGTTAAAATGAGTATCTAAATATAATGAAAAAAAAAAATTTCCAGGACTAAAATGACTGTCTCGCGCTATGTGCTGTGTGGTAGAGCGAGAGGAACAGGCACTCTCGGAAAGCTTGAAGGTGGAAGTATGTCTGTTCCTGTAAATCTAAAAAGTATGTAACATTAAGCATTCACACTGGGCTTCTCTTGGTTTGTATTTTTTGTTTTCCTTTCCTGTTTTCTTTCCTGATGTGCAGCTTGGCCTCCAGAAATCACATAGGCAGAAGTACTTGTTCTGTCAGTTTTATACTGTAACTTCCAGACTGTTATGCTACATGGATTTCACAAATAGCTTTTATTTCTTCTGACCATATTTGTTTGAGTGACTGACCTCTCTGGTACATTTACACTTCAGATCAAATCTGCATGCAGGGGCAAAGACTATGTTACTACATTGCTTTCTGTAAAGAATGTCACTCTAGAGAGTGTAACTGTAGATGGAACGATCCTGAGTGGAAAGACTCAGTTGGCAGACAGCATCCTAGAAATTTTCTAGTACAGGAGAATTCTCAAAGGAGTTAAATGGTTGGAATTTGATTTAGTCTTTGGCATTTGTAGCTGTAAATCAGCTTTGGAGGGACAGTTGAAGATATGTGTAGATTTGTGTTCTAATGCTTGGTTTTTCTTTTTTTAAGCATACATGGAAGAAAGATGGTCTTTACTGAGGAATAATATGTAAACCTATGAGAGAAATACTCGTCGTAGCATGTTTTCAACAGGAACAGTTTGAAATGCAGGTTCAGTTTTCATCACAAACAATGGCAGTGGTCTACATTGGATGTATAAAACATGAACAAGGAATTTTAAATCTGGAAGGGTTTATGGACATTAGAGCAAAACATTCTAGAATGGATTTCATTAAACCTCAATAAATTTACTATAAGCAACATTTATATGCACAGATTTTACTGAGTTACGTGTACAAATGATGAAAAATACTTAAAGCATGGTCCCCTGAGAGGCCAAGAAAGTTTCCGGATAAGTTCTCCTTCATGTTCATTAATTTACCACTTACAGCTTAGTTTTGTTTGTTTGTTTGTTTGTTTGGTTTGGTTTTAATTCAATGTAAGACTGGGGGAGGGATAAAAATACAAAATGACAGAATTCTCAGGAAACATATCGCTTCACTTCTTGCCAAAAAGTCAACACCTAAAGAAGCTCCAAAAATAATTTCTAAGTAGAGAATGGAATTTGTTGATTGATAACTTGTGAAAATTACAGCATCAGTCGACTGTTTCTTTTTTGTTTTCTTTTCTAAATAAGATTGTTTCCTGCCTCTAGTCAAATTAAATTATTTAGTGTTAAATGTTCACAACTTTATACAATGTGTGTAAGTGCAATATGTAAACATGTATGAAATCATGTTAAAAATGAAATATAGTAATACAGCTAAGAAAAGTGGCTTTTGGAATATGAATATCTGGTAAGTTACGGTCAGTAAGTTCTAAGTCTGGAAAAGAGATATATTAGTTTTCATATAAAATTAACTGCTTTCATGACTGTGGGAATACAATAGTGTGTATTTTTCTACAGTAACTGGGAATCTTTACTTCCTCCACCACCCACTTGGCTTTACCACTCCTTTCTACCTTAACCCTTCCTGCAAAAGTTAAGAAATAGGGAAATAGGGATGCATATGTTTGGGGCGGAAAGATAGTCTCCTCCCTTGATATATTATAAAGGGGCATTGATACATGTTCCTGCCTTTCCTGGCATTTTAAGGTGAAAACATGCTTAATGTTCATGGGTCATTAATGGGCTAAAACCACTAAATATTCTTTTTCATGTAACCAGTTCTTAATGCCAATAATGCATTTATGATCCAACTTCTTCATAAATGCTACCGGAAACTTTAAGGCCAAAATATAGTGTGCAGAGCTATTTTTTTAACCCAGATGCAGTGGAACGTCCTGTATACTAAAGGAGCAGCTACATCAGGGGTTTTAAGTGATGTAGCTGCTTTTTATTGTAGCTTATTTATACCTGTAAAAAAGGAGGGAGGGGGGAAAGGATGTTGCCTCTTGCTTTGATGTGATTTTATTCTAAGGGCTCTGATATTTAGGCTGATAGAAGTTGGCTTGGAAGCAGTGCTTAGTCTCACATGTTACCATTGTCCAGGGATGTCTGAGCTATTTTCAGATGTAGTAACAGCACAGTGTTTCTTCGGTTGCAGTCTCACTTGGCTCAGTTTCTTGCACCACTGGAGTGTTCATTACCACTGAAGTGTATTGGAACAACAGCGTGATGCAAGATGTGTAGATCAACAGTAGAGGATGGATTGTGCCCTTGGTGTTAACAATGTGCCTTTTGTTACAAATGCCGGTAGTAGGGCATGCATCTTGGCCTCTTTAACCCCCAGAATACTGGATAGTAAGGGTGAAATCTTTTTAAATGCTGTACCTGTCTTAGAATATCCTGTAGGTGATTAAGGCCTTAATAGAAACAATAAGGCAATCACACTGGTAAGGGTGGAGAGGGCACGCTGATCTTGGAGTACTTTCCGTAAAGGGGTTAAAGATGGCCCTTTCTCATTGGTTGTACTTTAACATCAAATTGATTTTTCTTTTCTTTAATAAATTTTTGTTATGGTGACACTAGACAGTAATTAACTGTATTTGTAAAATTTACCTCAAACTCTTTGGTTTTATAGTGTGATTTAATCCCAGGGCATTTGGTATGAACCAAAGTGCATTCCTTTTATATGTGCCTGGCTCTTATAAAGGTGGCCAGGGATTTTTACAATTTGGGTGCAAGGCACTTAAGCCACTTTTAACTCGGTGGGTGGTTTGGAGTTATAAATGACTTCATGGGAATGTTGAGAACACTTTAGACATAAGTAGCATTGGGCAATATTAGAATCTTTAGGAAAGGGTGTGCATTATTTAATGCTCTCCATTTTTTTAGTATTTTTTTCCATCAATAATGTTTGTGATAACTACAAAAAGAACTTTTTCTTTCCCAGTCAGCAAAGATTAGAATATTGCCCAGTTTAATGCTATGGTAGCATTTCAATAAAATAACATTTGTGAATTCTTGTTTCTAGGGGCTTGTACATCTCTGCTACAAATTGTGATTACTCAGTTCAACTGCTACAATTACGTCTAAGCAGTAGCTTGGGTTTTTATTGGGCAACGACTTAGACACGTGACTGTAATATGCTGCAACTGTGTGTACTGAAAACGTGAAAAACGATTGAATGTGGACTGTGTATATATTTATGTATAATTTTCTGTGAGATGCTGCTGTTGCCACTTCACATTAAAGATGTTGTAGTGGGTTTTAATCCTAGTGGCCAGTTCTATGATACTGTATGTATTGTACAGCTGATGACAGGAGTTAAGACTGTTCTAGTGAATATTTGTTACATTTTATTGTTGTGGCCAGAGATCATTTCAGAATAAAATTTTATGTCCTACTTTACTTCTCTCCACTGTAGTTTGGGTTTTTTTCTGGTCATAAAGAGAGCCCTTGGAGCGCTGGCATTTCTTAAACATGGAAAGGCCTGCTCTAGCCTGCTGAAGTCAATGACAGTGGTACCTTTTGTCCCCCAGCATGCTTACTGCTATCTGTAGATAGTAATTACTCACTGCTGGAGGATGTGTTTGCTGATGCTTTATGTGTCTTGACAGCCTTGAATGTTGCCCAAAGGCTACTTTTGCCCTGACGTTTCTAAGGATCTTCTCAGGACTTGGAAAGGAATATATTTTGTATTTTCATGTGCCCCATTTGACAGAAAACATCCTTGGCAGGAATTCTGCCTGTGTGGGTGTTCTAACTGCTTTTTAAATATCTTTAACATGACAATAGATCTGATTTTATAAGATAGTTGATTGAGAAAGGTGCCGTGTGTATTCTTTTTCTTAAAAATGCCCACATTTCTGCACTGCTTTTTGAGTCAGACTGACTTCTCAGAACATGCCAGACTTAAGTATATGTGTCAGGACAATGAGAGCATACTACACAAAGCTGGTAGGCTAGACTGAGCTAAGTTCTGACATACGTACATCTGGAATAGTTTCGCTGTTTATAATTGTGAATAATCGGCCACATTCTCTTCTTGGTAGTCTCAGTGTACACCCAGACCAGTTTCACTGAGAAGCTTTCTGATGAGGTGAGCCCAGGCGGAAATCAAAGTATTTTAACTGCACTTCAGTGTCTTCTTTTCAGCATAGTTGGAGATGTTGGAGCACAAAAACCTTCAAGATTAAATATAGCTGAACACAGTTTAAAGCTATGAAGAGCAGAAAGCCAAAAATTACATTTTTGTGGATTAAAGCTTATTTGTTAATTACTGTGTTCTTCTGAGAAGAAAGGCTTTTTCTAGTTCAGCTTTATAGATTTCCTTCTAATCCATCTCTCACCCTCTTTTCCAGCCGTCTGTCCCTTTTGCCAGCTCTTGTACACTTCTGTCACATCTGTTTTTTTCATTTGAAGGGTAGAGGCCGTCTCGCCTGATTTCACTTGTCTGAATATTGGGTTTTGTCCTGTGTCATTTGCTGAGACTCCCAGTAGCTGGTGGGGAAACTGTGTTGACCTCTGCCAGCGCTGCTCCCTCCCTGGGCTCTAACAGAGAGCTCAGATCCCTGTCTGAAATGGGGCCTTCAGAATCCACCCTGAGTGACTTAGTTGCTGTTAACCTCCACAGTTTTTGGATGTCAGTTGTGCATCTGTTATTTCTATAGCAGAGTAAAGGGTGCAAGAAATGTAATTATGATCAGGTGCCATGTTACTTGTAGGTGCTGCTCCTTTCCTTAAGAAAACCTGTCTTGTTCCCTTTTCTAAAGATCTACTTACTGAAAGATCCAGCATGAATTTTACTCTTCCTCAGAACTTGAGAAATGAAAAATTTTGGCCATACCAGGTTGAGATTGGGAAGGTTTTAAATGCATCTCAGTGTTTGAAAACCATTGATAAAGTATTATTTCTGTGGAAAATCTTCCTTTGAGAGCCTGTCATTTTTAAACTCTATGCTAATAGTTAAAGGACAACATTAAAGGTTCTTTTCAGCAGCTAAAACTTAAAAGAACCCCTGTTATACATTTCTTTAAAAAATGTGATTTATAATGCTGTTATTCTGCTAGCACAGTCATGTGGTTTGTATTTTAATGTCCCTGAGAGGACATTCTTTGTCTCAAGTGCATGTCACTAGACATCTCCCAGCCATCAGATAAGCTATAGCAGAATAGAAGTGGCTTTGATAGAACCAGTTTCTGTTCCTTCACCGGACTCCTGTGCAGCTCCTGGAACTGGGGTTTCTCTGTGTCATTTTCCCTTTTGGCTTTGTCTGTTGGTTGGTTGTTTGTTCATTTGTTTGTTTTTAAGAAGTGCTTTCCAGCCTCTGGCTGTGGTGAATCTTGGCTCTCTGCCGACTATGGAGCAGAGAGATAGGGAGTGCTGCAAAAATAATGTTTCCTTAGCTTTCTCCCAACAATAAATAGGAAGTCTATCTTAGTACCAAACTCCGAAGACAGGGAATGCACATTTGCCTCCAGCTGCTGTGTTCTAGTCTCCACACCAAGCTGATAACCTTGTTCCTTAACTTTGAAGGGGGAAAAAGAGACTACAAAAGGAATGTCATTGCATCTTTTTGATAAAGTTTGGGATCTAGTTGGAGCTAGGGAGAGGTTCTGCTGGGAAGTTCTTGGGCTGGGAGCTCTGCCTAACACCCTGGGAGTTGGCAAATGCAGTGTTCCTGCTAACAGTGGGAAATGTTTTCCCATTTTTGTAGACTGTTTTCATTGCTTTGCTTTGGTTTGGTTATCTGCAAGCTGGACATGGCTATGCATACCTTATATACCTGGAGATGTCTGGAGTAGATGCAAACAGTGAGGTATTACTTTATAACTAACGCTGACACTGGGAAAACCAGAGATTCTCACTCAGAGACTGATCTGACAGTGCCCTGTATGTAGTACCCACAGAGTCCCATGTGAGACTTCAAATGCAAAGCATTGCAGTGAAGTATTAAATGTAATGTGTGAGAGAAGTGTCCACCTAGTAGAAAAGCAATTAACAATGGTATTATAAAGACTTTTGGGCAAGCTCAGTTTTAGAGTGTAGTATTGATTTATTTAATAAGACCTTTTTAATTTGATAAAAAATATCTGCATAAAGAAATAAGATTTTTATTTCAGCTTCAGTATGGCAGTAAAAGTTCCACATTTTTTCCCCCCCAAGTGTGTGGGGTACTTGCAGACACTACAAATACACTTTGCTCAAGCCACCTAGGTGTAGAGATCTACTCCATTATCATCTCCTAAAATTAAAGAATATGTGTGTGTAACATATATGTATGTGTTTACATAGACATATATATGATTCTTTGAAAAACCCCAAAACTGCAGGCATTGTTTGTCTTCTCAAAGAAAAGAGATGGGGCTTCAGTTTCTTTTTGCCTCTGAAGGTTCAGTATAAGCCAAACATCTTTGCATTACAAACACATCAAAGTCAGCTCTCATGGCTGGAGTCCCTGTTTCACCGCCAGGATGCTCATAGCGAACCTCAGCTTCCCTGATGAAGGCTGCTCTGTGCTCAGTGAGCAGGAGGCAGGTATCACTGAGGGAGAGGTGGTCCTTGTGTTTTCCAGAGTGGGCCTTCACCAGTGGGAGAGCTGTTTTGTAGCTTACCCTGCTTGGCAACTGAAATTTCTCCTTCAGAATTAAAGCTTGAGTCCATGCACTTAGACTGGGTTGGGAAATGTCAGCTGAGAAAGAAACCCTGAGGCCAAGGCAGAGTTTGTAAAGCTCACAGCTAGAATAAAAATGGATTTCTAAACATCCCAGTACTTGTCATAGCCAGCTGTGACACTTCCAAAGTGGCTTCTAAGATCTGAAAGACTTTTCCAAAGGCCTGTACAGAGACAGGTTTGCCTAGGACATTCCTGGGCTGGTGGCTCTGCCTACCCTGCATGCTGGTGGCAGTGCCTCTGGCTCCCCTGCACTTCTGGGTTCCTCAGGGTACAAAGAGCACTTCATGAGCAGAAAACAAAAGCAGTGTTGCTAAGGAGAAATTAAATATTTATGTATCAAGGGCTCTGCACGCTAGTAATGGGACTCTAGAGTCACTGCTATTTGGCTGGGTGTCAGTCCTATGAACCATTTTGCCCCACTGACCTTCTAATCTGCAGATACGTGCCATCACCTATGTGTCCACTATGTTGGAGTGGACCATCAGGCCTGATTCCTCCCAAGCTTGCCTGTCACTGCCCTCAGCAATGCCTGCAAATCGCTTGCCAGTGAACTACGAGTACAGTGCTTCGAAGATGTAAGTTGATGCTATCAGGTACCCAGTAAGGTGTCCCAGCCCATTGATGGGAGCTGACCCAAGAGCAAGCTGTGCAAGTGGTGTCACTGGTGACACTGGCCCTGCTCCCTGCAGGGTGCTCCTGTCCCTAAGGACATGTGTGTGGCAGGGACACTTCCCTTCCCCTGCCCTTTCCTGTGTGGCAGAATCAAAGGGTGATGCTCAGATAATGCACTCTCACCCTGCAGGAAGAGGATAGCTCTCCCCACCCCAGGACTGGTAGCATCAGGCAAAGCAGCCTAATGCTTGTGAGGAAGCTGTAACACACTCTTCTGCTGGCATGGGGGGGAATGTTTCCAATCATAAGCGTTTGCAGATGGCCTGTCTTAATTAGCTTTGACAAGTACCTAAGTTGCTGTTAAGTTACACCACAAATGGGATCATGAAGCTTTCATTTTTTGTCACTTTTAAATAAAGCTTTTTCCCTCCTCCTGGTACAGCATTTCCATTTTTCTTTCCATATAAGGCTCTTGAGAAGAAATGAGATCTTTACGTAGCTGAGGAGCTATATTTTGATTGACTAAATGATTTAGAATTAGGAGGTAGCTCCTGCCACTGTTCTTCATCTGTTGATTGAGAATTGCCTGCAGCAAATCAGTGCAGGCAGAGCTGCCAGTAAAGCATGCTGGTATCTTCTCACAGTAGATACCTTTCAACCCCAAATTTCCTCCTTCCTCTGGTACTGGCTCAGACGTATTATCTTTATGGCCAGTGACTCTACAGGAGTTAGAGGGTTGTACTTACTTACATGTGAAATACTTACCCATGCAGTTATTTATGATCTGCTGTGTGGGAGTGGTGGTGCTGGTAGCCTTTTCAGAGCCTGTGAATGGATTGTGTGTGAAATCAGGCTGAAGGCAAGTGTGCCTCTGCCTTTGAAGGGCGGGAAGCAGAAATCTTTCCTCACCTGGTAGAAGCCACTTGGCCTGCTTGGCAAAAAGGTGGCTCTGGAGTGAGCTGACATGGGCAAGGTTAGAAACAGGAGAGAGGTGCCTATTATGGGCCTTTGAGAAGAAGCTGTTGTTTTCTCCTCTGTCAAAACTATGGCATAAACGGTTCCTGGGATGTTCTGATCAGGAAGGAGCTGGGCACGTAATCCATCCCTGGCTATAGCCTCC